GTCCCTCTGTCCATCTTTCCTCCTCATTTGTCCCTCATTTGATCTCTATAGTTGTATATAAAATACACTTTTTATTTTTCAAAAACTGTTTGCCAGTGTAAAACCTTTCATCCAATTTCCAAATTGCTGCATTTGTAAATTTCAAAAGCCAGTATAAAGGAATAGTAGTGGTTAAAAAAAAGCACTTGTGGGTTTAACAAATCATTTTTTAATATAATTCTCCTTTAAGGGGGCGTGGCAGGGGGTGTCCTATGCCGACATACTTTTGCTAATAGGTGCCCCTCGTTCCTATCTCAAAAAAGTTGGGAGGTATGAGTTTGTATTCCTTACACTTTACCTCCTGCACATTACATACTGCAGAACTCTGTATTACTTAGTCCTGATTCCTGAACTTTGTGTTTCTAACCCCTGACTCCTGCATTACATACTACTGATCTTTGAACTGTGCATTACTTACACTTTCCTCCTGCACTGCTCTGACCAAAGTGTATATCGGTGTGACAAGCAGCCCAGCCAGCCAGGCGAAATCTCAGCCTAGCCAGCCAGTCAGGCCAAATCTCAGCCTAGCCAGTCAGTCAGGCCAAATCTCAGCCTAGCCAGTCAGTCAGGCCAAATCTCAGCCTAGCCAGCCAGGCCAAATCTCAGCCTAGCCAGCCAGCCAGGCCAAATCTTAGCCTAACCAGCCAGCCAGGCCAAATCTCAGCCAAGCCAGCCAGCCAGGCCAAATCTCAGCCTAGCCAGCCAGTCAGGCCAAATCTCAGCCTAGCCAGCCAGGCCAAATCTCAGCCTAGCCAGCCAGACAGGCCAAATCTTAGCCTAGCCAGCCAGCCAGCCAGGCCAAATCTCAGCCTAACCAGCCAGCCAGTCAGTCAGGCCAAATCTCAGCCTAGCCAGCCAGGCCAAATCTCAGCCTAGCCAGCCAGCCAAGCCAAATCTCAGCCCAGCTGTTAAAGGGCCAGCAGGCCTAAGGTCCAAGAGAGGTTAAACTCCCATGAAACATTGAAATGTTTTGTGACCAATAAATGTAACAACCCATCACCCAAATATACATTATAAATAAGCTTCAAACTTAATCCATCCCTCCTTTAAATACACAAGGAAAAAGTGCAGCGCTAAAAGATATATACTCCAGTCTAGTAATAGATTATAATAATAAATGATAAAATAATAGTAAAATAACAGATCAGTAAAATAATACAATGATAAAATTGGTGACAGTTTGTGGTAGGTGATAGGTACAGGAGTTGATAGTGACTTCACGTTCCAGTGGTGTGGTGATAAATAACAAAAATACGCACTCACCAGATGCGTATCTTTCAGTACGCATATAGTCAATATAACCAGAGGTCCCCCTCATGGGATGGAATGGATGAGCTGGGCTGTCTTAACGGACTCTCCTTCCTCTGGGTATTGGGCAGCCAAACAATCGTCTTCCTTGGCGTAAAAACACCGGGCATCAACATAGAAGCTCTCCTAGTGGATGGGCAGGATACTGATCAGCTCACACAGGAGCTTGGATGCAGCTGTTCGGACATGGAAACCCATTCCATGAAGCTCTCTACGCACTGTTGTTGGGCTCATCTGAAGGCCACACCAAGTTTGGAGGTCTTTAGCTATTGACTCTGCAGACAATTGGTGATTTCTGCGCACTGTGCGCTTCAGCATGCGGTGACCCCGCTCTGTCATGTGACATGGCCTACCACTTGGTGGCTGAGTTGCTGTTGTTCCCAGTTGCTTCCACTTTGTTATAATCCCACTAACAGTTGAGCGTGGAATATTTAGTAGCTAGGAAATGTCACGGATGGACTTATTGCCCAGGTGACCACCTATCACGGGACCACACTTGGAGTCACTGAGCTCCTGAGAGCGACCCATTCTTTCACCAATGTTTGTAGAAGCCATCTGCATGCCTAGGGGCTTGATTGTATACACCTGTGTCCATGGAGGGGATTGGAACACTTGAATCACATGATTTGGAGGGCTGGCCCAACACTTTTTGCAAGATACTTTGTATCTTAATATGGTGAGAACATATCATGAGTCATCATCTATGATATTGTACTTACTTAAATTGTTTGTATTAGATGTGCAATTCGGACAGCTGATTGGTTGCTCAATGAACTGCGTGTAAACTGAATAACAGACAAAGAGAAATAACAATGTATCAAACACGTAACATTTCTTTGGCATCATGACGTGAACTCAGGATTACTTTGTTGGGTTATACCAAATCTGTAACTCCAGCTAGAAATAAAATATCACTATAAAGGCCGAGTGATTGAAGGATTCTTTTTTTTTTTAAACCACTTCAATATCAGACACTTTTATTCCCTTCCTGCCCAGGCCAATTTTCAGCTTTCAGCGCTCTCACAGTTTGAATGACAATTGTGCGGTCATGCAACACTGTAACCAAATGAAATTTTTATCATTTTGTTTAAACAACTAGAGCTTTCTTTTGGTGGCATTTAATCACTACTGGGAAAAAACAAATATTTTGAAAAAAAACAATTTTTTTTTTGTTTCTGTGTTACAAATAAATAATTTTTCTTCATAAATTTAGTGCTACATTTCTTTGGTAAAAATAACCCAAATTAGTGTATATTTTTTAGTCTGTAGGAAAGTTATAAAGTCCACAAACTATTTTATATATATATATATATATATATATAAATATATATATATATACATATATCTGACAATCGATCAATCCTGATGTACTGACAGCCGATCTCATTGCTTGAGGCCCAAGACGCTAGGACAGTACAAATATCCCCAAAATGACCCCTTTTTGGAAAGTATACAGCCTGAGGTATTCAGTAAGAGGCATGGTAAGCTTTTTTAAGTAACATGCATTTTTGGAAAAAATAAAAAAAAATAAAAATCACAATTTTTTATTTTATTTATTTAATTTTTTTTAACATACTGTCACCAGTGCAGTACAGCTTCATCATATAATTTCAGTAGTGGTGATCAGGGACACAAACTAATGACAGTACAAATTTTTTTTTTCCAATTTTTTTTATTTTATTATTTTTTTTTCTTTTTCTGATTTTGTTTAATAACACACTGTGACCAGAGTAATATAAAATTACCATAGTAACATTGTACTACTTTGGGGAAATACATGCATGTTTTGAATCTGTCGGTCCCTGCTGAAGCGGCAGAGAATCGAACCCTTTATGGCCGGCTTTAGAATTGCTGCAATATAGTAAATGTTTGCTTCTGGGTTTAAGCTGGTCGTATACTGTACGTTACAATCTGGTTTTACAATCCGAACAATATATTTTGTTTGTATGCAATCAGACAGGCACTTACTAATTAGCTGTTGGTATATTTAAGGAAGATTGCATAGTATGAATGGACTGTGTATGGACAGCTTCCAAGCAGGGGTGGACTGATCATTTGGAAACTCGGGCACTGCCCGAGGGCCCGGGGTCAGTAAGGGGCCCCATGAGATTCCCCTGGTACCTTTTTCACAGGCTTTTTTGAGTTTGGGCAAGGACACAGGGGCCCCATGATCCCCTATTGCCCGGGGGCCTCATGAGTTGTCAGTCTGCCCCTGCTTACAAGCTGTTTTTATTTGAACATTTTGTACTCATGTACAGTGCTATGGAGAAGTATTTGCCTCTTTCCTAAATTTTTTTTTTTTTGCATATTAGTCACTCTTAAATGATTCACATCAAACACATTTTAATACTACACAAAGATAACCTGAATAAAAACAAAATTCCGTTTTTAAATGATAATTGCGTTTGTTAAGAGAAAAAAACTAATGGGTAGCGCTTGGCAGTACTGAGGTCGTTAGTTTGAATTCCAACCATGGCACCACCTGCCTGGAGTTTGCAAGTTCTCCTTGTGCCTGAGTGGGTACTCCGATTTCCTCCCATACTCCAAAGACATGCTGGTAGGTGAATTGGCTCCTGTCTAAATTAGCCCTAGTATGTGTATGTGTGAATGCGAGTTAGGGACCTTAGATTGTACACCCCTTGAGGGTTAGGGACTGATGTGAATGTACAATATATGTAGAATATATATGTAAAAGTGCTGCTTAAATTGACAGCACTATATAAGTACCGGAAACAAATAAATAAATGACCCCCTTTCCTCCTTGCTAAATCATTAATGAACTGTGATTAACCACATTTTTGGAAAGCTGAGTTAAATTTCATTTGCCACACCCAGGGCTGATTATTGCTAGACCTGTTGAATCAAGAGATCACTTAAATAGAAGCTGCCTGACAAAGTGAAGCACGATAAAGATCTCAAAGAGCAACACATCATGCCACAATTTAAAGACATTTAAGAACAGATGAGAAAAAAAATTAACTGATATGTATCAGTCTGGAAAGGGTTACAAAGCCATGTCTAAGGCTTTGGGACTCCAGCGAACCACGGTGAGAGCCATTATCCACAAATGGAGAAAAATGTGAACAATAGTGAATCTTCCCAGGAGAGTCTGGCCTATCAAATTGCTCCAAGACGACTCATCCAGGAGGTCATAAAAGAACCCAGAACAATATCTAAAGAACTGCAGGCCTCACTTGCCTCAGGTAAGGTCAGTGTTCATGATTCAAGAATAAGAAAGACTGGGAAAAAATGGCCTCCATGGGGGAGAGTTCCAAGGCCAAAGCCACTGCTTACCAAAAGAACACAAAGACTCATCTCACATTTGCCAAAAAATATCTTGATTATTGCCTTGACTTTTGGGCAAATATTCTGTGGAATGATGAGACAAAGATTGAACTTTTGGAAGGTGTGTGTACATCTGACGTAAAATTAACAGAAGATTTCATAAAAAGAACATCATACCAACAGTCAGACATGATGGTGACAGTGTGATAGTCTGGGGCTGCTTTGCAGCTTCAGGACCTGGATGACTTGTTATAATTGATGGAACTATGAATTCTGCACTCCTGAAATAGAATGTCCAGCCATCAATTCCTGACCTCAAGCGAACTTGAATCCAATGGAGATGCTGTGGCATGACCTTCAACAGGCCGTTCATGCTGGAAAACCCCCCAATGTGACTGAATCAAAACAATTACCGTATTTTTTTCGCTCCATAAGACGCACCTAGGTTTTAGAGGTGAAAAACAAGAAAAAAAAATATTCTGAACCTTTGGACTGCAGACACAGTACAGGAGATGACCAGAGACTGCAGACACAATACAGGAGATGACCAGAGACTGCGGACACAGTACAGGAGATGACCAGAGACTGCAGACACAGTACAGGAGATGACCAGAGACTGCAGACAGTACAGGAGATGACCAGAGACTGCAGACATAGTACAGGAGATGACCAGAGACTGCAGACACAGTACAGGAGATGACCAGAGACTGCGGACACAGTACAGGAGATGACCAGAGACTGCAGACACAGTACAGGAGATGACCAGAGACTGCAGACACAGTACAGGAGATGACCAGAGACTGCAGACAGTACAGGAGATGACCAGAGACTGCGGACATAGTACAGGAGATGACCAGAGACTGCGGACACAGTACAGGAGATGACCAGAGACTGCAGACACAGTACAGGAGATGACCAGAGACTGCGGACACAGTACAGGAGATGACCAGAGACTGCGGACACAGTACAGGAGATGACCAGAGACTGCGGACACAGTACAGATGACCAGAGACTGCGGACACAGTACAAGAGATGACCAGAGACTGCGGACACGGTACAGGAGATGACCAGAGACTGCTGACACGGTACAGGAGATGACCAGAGACTGCGGACACAGTACAGATGACCAGAGATGCGGACACGGTACAAGGAATGACCAGAGACTGCGGACACGGTACAGGAGATGACCAGAGACTGCAGACACGGTACAGGAGATGACCAGAGACTGCGGACATAGTACAGGAGATGACCACAGACTGGGGACACAGTACAGGAGATGACCAGAGACTGCGGACACAGTACAGGAGATGACCAGAGACTGCAGACAGTGCAGGGAATGACCAGAGACTGCAGACAGTGCAGGGAATGACCAGAGACTGCAGACAGTGCAGGGGATGACCAGAGACTGCGGACCTTTGGGGAGGGAGGGGGAGCGGGTACCTGAATTTGACAGGTACCCGCTCCCACTTCCGCGGAGTTGTCCTTCTTCCTGGGCCGGCTTCTGTGACAGCCGGGTGCCCACTGTGCATGTGCGAGAAGCGCTGCGCTTTGAATGGCCCGGCGCCTTCTGGGACCTGTCATGTGTCCCAGAAGACACCAGATCATTCACAAAGCGCAGCGCTTCTCGCACATGCACAGTGGGCACCCGGCTGTCACAGAAGCCGGCCCGGGAAGACTGTGCAGCGCTGGAGCGAGGAACAGGTAAGGCCCTGCAGGAGAGAACAGCTGAGCGGCCGGCCCGGCCACTTTATATTCGCTCCATAATACGACGCACTGACATTTTCCCCCCTTTTTTGGGGGGAAAAAAGTGCGTCTTATGGAGCGAAAAATTCGGTATGCATAGAAGAGTGGACCAAAATTGCCAGTTATCGCAAACGCTTGATTGCAGTTGTTGCTGCCAAGGGTGACACAACCAGTTAGTAGGCTTAGGGGGCAATTACTTTTTCACATTTTTGCCAGGCAGGTTTGGACCAATTCTTTCCCTTAATAAATTAAATCATTGTTTAAAATCTGCATATTGTATTTACTTGGGTTATCTTTGCGCAATATTAACATTTGTTTGATTTGAATCATTTAAGTGTGACAAATATGCAAAAAAAACAAATCAGGAATCTACAGCACTGTAGATACAACGAGACCTCCATTTGTGTAACTATCACTACAGTAGAAGTAGAGATAGCAGAGAGAGGTCTCACTGTGTATGAATGCACGTCTTTAATCATTTACTAAACATGAGAAATTGAAATTCTCAAACTGGAAACATCACAGAAACCAAAAATTCAAATGCCAAAACAAACATTTTCTTTTTCTGTGGGAACCTCTCTTTAATGATACATTAAAAATTATTTATATATATATATACATACACACCCATGTGTGTACTTCTTATAGCCTTCAAAATATCTTTGTTTCTCAGAGAGTAGACAAACGGGTTGGCATTGTTAAAAAAAAATTAAAGGAAGACATTGAAAACCCATCAGATCTCAATAGAGAAAAATCTCCTGCTGGATCTCTACACTGATATGGACGGGGTAATGTTTTAGGAACATAAGGATGCCCCATCGTTTGATGGAAATGAAAGTGATTGAACGTTCTCCACGGCTTCTCCAGACCCTTTCATGTCTGTCACATGTGCTCAGGGTGAACCTGCTCTCATCTGTGAAAAGCACAGGGTGCCAGTGGTGGATCTGCCAATTCTGGTGTTCAATGGCAAATGTCAATCCAGCTCTATGGTGCCGGGCAGTGAGCACAGGGCCCACTAGAGGACGTCGGGCCCTCAGGCCACCCTCATGAAGTCTGTTTCTGATTGTTTGGTCAGAGACATTCACACCAGTGGCCTGCTGGAGGTCATTTTGTAGGGCTCTGGCAGGGCCCATCCTGTTCCTCCTTGCACAAAGGAGCAGATACCGGTCCTGCTGATGGGTTAAGGACCTTCTACGGCCCTGTTCAGCTCTCCTAGAGTAACTGTCTGTATCCTGGAATCTCCTCCATGCTCTTGAGACTGTGCTGGGAGACACAGCAAACCTTCTGGCAATGGCAGGTATTGATGTGCCATCCTGGAGGAGTTGGACTGCCTGTGCAACCTCTGTAGGGTCCAGGTATGGCCTCATGCTACCAGTAGTGACACTGACCCTAGCCAAATGCAAAACTAGTGAAAGACAGTTAGAAAAGATGAGTAGGGGAAAAATTATCAGTGTCCTCCACCTGTAAAACCATTCCTGTTTAGGGGGTCATCTCATTGTTGCCCATCTAGTGCACCTGTTGTTAATTTCATTAACACCAAGGCAGCTGAAACTGATTAACAACCCCCTCTGCTACTTAACTGACCAGATCAATATCCCAGGAGTTCCACTGACTTGATGCTAGACTCTGACTAAAAAGTCTTCCTTTAATTTTTTTGAGCCGTGTATTAAATTGATGGCAGGGGCAGACTGACCATTTGGAAACTCGGGCACTGCCCGAGGGCCTGGGGTCAGTAGGGGGCCCCATGAGATGCCCCTGGTACCTTTTTCATAGGCTTTTTTGAGTTTGGGCAAGGACACAGGGGCCCCATGATCCCCTATTGCCCGGGGACCCCATGAGTTGTCAGTCCGCCCCTGATTGAGGGTGCCAATAAGTTTGTCCAGTCCATTTTTGGAGTTTTGCATGAAATGTGTCAGATTTGCCTTTTTCTTTCTCCACTTTTTTGTATCATACCAATACAGTATTTCACACAAAAAAGGTATTGCATTAACACATGTTTTGCTATACACATGTTTATTCCCTTTGTATGTATTGGAACAAATATAAAACAGAGGCAGAAAAGCAAATATGACATAATGTCACACAAAACCCCAAAAATGGGCTGGACAAAAGTATTGGCACCCTTAACTTAATATTTGGTTGCACACCCTTTGGAAAACATAACTGAAATCAGTCGCTTCCTATAACCATCAATAAGCTTCTGACACCTCTCACCCGGAATTTTGGACCACTCTTCCTTTGCAAACAGCTCCAGGTCTCTCTTATTGGAAGGACACCTTTTCCCAACAGCAATTTTAAGATCTCTCCACAGGTGTTCAATGGGATTTAGATCTGGGCTCATTGCTGGCCACTTCAGAACTCTCCAGCGCTTCTTTGCCATCCATTTCTGAGTGCTTTTTGACGTATGTTTGGGGTCATTGTCCTGCTGGAAGACCCAGGATCTTGGACGCAAACCCAGCTTTCTGACACTGGGCCCTACAGTGCGACCCAAAATCCTTTGGTAATCCTCAGATTTCATGATGCCTTGCACACAGTCAAGGCACCCAGTGCCAGAGGCAGCAAAACAACCCCAAAACATCATTGAACCTCCACCATATTTTACCGTAGGTACTGTGTTTTGTTCTTTGTAGGCCTCATTCCGTTTTCGGTAAACAGTAGAATGATGTGCTTTACCGAAAAGCTCTATCTTGGTCTCATCTGTCCACAAGACGTTTTCCCAGAAGGCTTTTGGCTTACTCAAGTACATTTTGGCAAACTGTAGTCTTGCTTTTTTATGTCTCTGTGTCAGCAGTGGGGTCCTCCTGGGTCTCCTGCCATAGCATTTCATTTCATTTAAATGTCGACGGATAGTTCGCGCTGACACTGATGCTCCCTGAGCCTGCAGGACAGCTTGAATGTCTTTGGAACATGTTTGGGGCTGCTTATCCACCATCCGGACTATTCTGCGTTGCAATCTTTCATCAATTTTCCTCATCCGTCCACGACCAGGGAGATTAGCTACAGTGCCATGGGTTGCAAACTTCTTGATAATGTTGCGCACTGTGGACAAAGGCAAATCTAGTTCTCTGGAGATGGACTTGTAACCTTGAGATTGTTGATATTTTGCCACAATTTTGGTTCTCAGGTCCTCAGACAGTTCTCGTCTCCTCTTTCTGTTGTCCATGCTTAGTGTGGCACAGACAGACACACAATGCAAAGGTTAAGTGAACGTCTCTCTCCTTTTTATCTGCTTTCAGGTGTGATTTTATATTGCCCACACCTGTTACTTGCCCAGGTGAGTTTACAGGAGCATCACATGCTTGTAACATTCTTATTTATCCGCAGTTGTGAAAGGGTGCCAATACTTTTGTCCAGCCCATTTTTGGAGGTTTGTGTGACATTATGTCGAATTTGCTTTCTTTCCTCCCTTTTTTTGTTTTGTCCCAATACACACAAAGGGAATAAACATGTGTATAGCAAAACATTGTTAATGCAATACGTTTCGTGAGAAATACATGATTTCCTGGAGAAATATCAAGGGTGCCAACAATTTCGGCCATGACTGTAAATACGAGAATGCCTAAACATTTGTAATTGCAACAATTTTCTGGGCGAAGTGGTGCGTTAGCTGACAGAAATGCAGGGGTGCCAATATTTTTGGCTATGACTGTATATAAATGGTATCCAAACATTCACATTCCGGGGCAGCTATAGTGTAAGCAAATTAGAGATTATAAACTAAAGGAAGGCAAAATATTGGCAATGGAAATTCATTTTATCAAAGTAATTTACTCACTCATGTAAGCAAGAGCACAAGAAAGGATGAGTATAATAAGGATGAGGAGTTTGGTGATGTTCCCACACTTGAAACGTCTCGCTGTGTTTTCTGTAACATCTAGAATAAAAAAGCGATCTGCAGTAGTACATTTATATCTTATATTATTGCCAAGCTTGAACTAATAATAATAATAAAATTATAAAAGATCCACGATAAGCTTTATA